TGCGGTGGAGTGACGGGAATCATGGTTTGAGGGGTATAATACGTCGTCGCGTTTGCACGGAATGGATCGGGCGGTTCGGGATTGGAATACACCACGAGGTACTCATCGTTTATATCGGCTTCGGGTGCCTTGGCTGGGGATTCCATCATTGACTGGAAGACAGTGTCGTTGAGCACACAGTTTTGACTCTGTGATGTAAGAGCAGACAAGTCGGTACTATCCTTGTCAAAGAGAGAGGCCTTCAAGTCTGGAGCGGACGAGTCTGAAGAAACGCCAGCCACGGGGCTAGCAGCGTTGATAGAGTGGAAGACGGTCTGACCGAAGCTGAACGAGTTGCTATGGTCGTGGAGTCCAGGACGAATTTGGGTAGATTTGTCTTGAGAGTGGAAGATATTCTCATCCACAGAAGCAGGGTCCGGAACCTGGACACTATTGGGAGCTGCGTCGATAACTCTTCCTTTGCCCTTGTCTCTGATGGGAGTCGAAGTAGCCACCCCGGAGGGCTTCAAGTCTTCGTCATGATTACTGTGGTTGTCATCAGTCACAGACGCGTCGATCACGTTATCTAATGAGGGCTCAGGGACATCGAAGCCAAGGCCTGGAGGCACCTTGGGAAGATCGATGTCGAGGTCATTGAAATTAGGAGGTGGAATGGGAGACATGAGATTGGTCGACTCAAAGAACTGGACTTGTTCTTTCGGAGGTGGCGTGTCGGAACTGCTCATTGGCGAGAAAACCTCTGCGACACTAGGCCGCACCGCTTTATCATTCGTTGAGGCTCGAGTCACGGGGAATGTCCCAGAGGGCATAAAACGACGGTCAAACAATGGTTCTTGAGAAGCAGCTGAAGGAGATGGCTCAAGGGATGACGGAATAATAGATTGGAACTCGGTCTCTGTAGATTGATTTGGGCTGATGACCTTATAGGCATCCCGAGAGAAGAACCGTACATTCTGGCCAGTGCCAGGCGTCTTAGGGTCGCGAAGAATAGATCGAACGGAGCCAAACCCGGACGGCGTCATAGGTGATGCTTCTGGAGACGCGTCTTCGTTGGAACGTAAAATATCAAGCGAAGGTCGGCGCTGAGATGTGCCAGCGCCGACTGTGGCGTTTTGACGAGCATCCAAGTCAATAGAGGGGCGCAATGTGTCAAAAGATGATTTGCGCCCTGGTGATGATATTGAGAATTCGGCTGTGAGCTTGGAAAGTGAAGCCTGTGAATCTGGTTGACAGTGTTAGCGTAACGAGAGTCAGATTGATAAGATGACCACTCACTGTTGCCGTTGCCAAAGAGTCCTTTCGTCTTCGTTTGCCCTACTGATGGTGATGGTGCTTGTACTGAGTCGCTGTCATCTTTGAACGGTGCTCTTGATAACCTCTTGAACATGCTTCGTCTGTTACTCCTCGTCGGCGACGGTGGCGGGCTAGGGCTCGAGATACGCTCTAATTTGTTATTGGAAACGGATAGATCTGAGTGTTGTTCGAACACTTTAGACATGCCACCGTCAGCTGGCTGAGGCGGTGATGATAACGATGGGTCATGGTCATCCTGGGCCGCACGAGGCTTTAGAACGCTAGTAAGTTTTGCCCACATAAGAGGCAACTTTGAGAGATATGCCTTATCGAGGGCGATGTCTTGAAGACCCGTGAGGGTGGCTGTGGAACGAGGTTACGGTCAAGTGTTAAACTTTTCAACCAAAGAGGCGCGTCAATCATGTGACCGAGTTTGCTTGTCAACCGTCACCTTCAAGTTCAACCAGCTGATAAGATCCATCAGGAAATGGAGCTCAAGAACACCAGGGGGAGAACGGACTTTTCCTGCTCACCCATGGACATTTCGCTAGCCTAGCTATGGGCGCGTTCGTAGGTCAAAATAGCGACAATCGGAATGTCGCTATCTCGCTAAGCTGGGTGCTGAGAGTTTGGACATCAAAAATGGGGTATCCATCTTGGCAGAGAGTACTCGAGCGATTCTGACGCTTGGAGGAGGCTCCAACGTCTTGATCCATCCTGGAATCAGTGATCATTTAGCCCGGACTGACTCATGTACTTATTGGGACCGGCTCGGTGAGCCCTCCCAATAGACCGGTATCGGTATTTTTTTCCTTCGGTCGGATTCCCTTAAGCGAAATAGTTGCCCATTGGACAAGTAACCTTTGTCGGGGTGGCCTGCAAGAAATCATTCTGCCTCTGAATGTCAGTGAAATTATAAGTACTAGCCCTTAACACTTGCCCACTACTATAGTACTAATGCCGGAAATGTTTCCGTTGTGGAAAGCTGCCTACCAAGTTTCGTTTGGAAAGGCTAGGCTTAGACTAAGACTGAGCTGTCAATTGTCCAGAGCCGCCAGAAACACGTGAACTGGACCGTCACGGACCGGATTCTTTCTTGGTATGTATTTCCCAGGAAACATGGGGAAACCTGGGGAAATTTCAAACACAGCACTTGTCAAAGACCCTGAAAGCTTCAGCACTAGCCTCAGGCGGGTCGAAAGGTTCGAGGGCTAGATCCAGCCAGGACCAGCCGAGTCCAACGCAGATTCGCGTAGATGGAAGCATGTTCGCTCGTTCATTGATTGCAAGGAACGTTCCTGGGAGCGGCCGATCATCCGACGCGTCACTAAAATCCACTTTACAACCGAAACATTAGGCCTTAGGTTTAGAACGTTGTAATAATCGCATAGGATCCTGTTCATAGGCGTTTGTGCTGCAGCCTCTACACTATAGAGGGTCAGTTGCAGTTGCACGAAGAGCGTTCCCGCGAAATTCCAGGAAAGTTCGATACATATTCGCGAATCGATTTGGGGATGGCGAAACAAAAAGATAACCGTAATCGATCTCCGATGGATTGATTATCTACTCAGGCCAGCTTATAAATTCGTTCCCTTCTGATTCATCCACCAAAACCTCCCTCTCACCACACTTTTTTCTCAAATCATAATGGTGGGTTTCTGCTGTCCCTTCTCGACTTCTGCGACTGATGACCTTCCAGGTCGTCAAAGTCGGTATTAACGGGTATGTCGTCGTAACTGTCCTCTTGATGTCATCTGACTAGCCTGGCCACCTTCAAGTTTCGGTGAGTAGATGTTTGATTTCTGGAAAACTCTGGTCGCTAACAAGTCACAGGTCGTATCGGCCGCATTGTTCTCCGCAATGCTCTCCTCAACGATAAAATTAACGTTGTCGCTGTGAACGAGTGGGTGTACCGATCAATGGAACATGATTTGAATTGTCTCATCTGTCTCGTGTAGCCCTTTCATTGACCTTGAGTACATGGTCCGTCCAGAGGTGTCGACAACTGATGACCGGCAGTTCTTACTAGTATTTCCAGGTCTACATGTTCAAGTACGACTCCGTACATGGACGTTTTAAGGGATCGGTTGAGGCCAAGGACGGTAAGCTCTGGGTTGATGGCAAGCCCATCGTTGTCTTCGGCGAGAAGAACCCCCAAGACATTAAGTGGTCCTCAGTTGGCGCTGAGTATGTTGTTGAGTCCACTGTATGTCTTTTTGACTAGATTGTCGCGATCGATAACGCTAATTATACTTACAGGGTGTCTTTACGACCACCGAAAAGTAGGCACAATCACATATATCCTTCTTCAGCATGTGACTCATTTGTCCTGCAATTTAGGGCTGGGCTTCATCTCCAGGGCGGTGCCAAGAAGGTCATTATCTCTGCTCCTTCGGCCGATGCACCTATGTTTGTCGTCGGTGTCAACCTCGACAAGTATGATCCCAAATACCAAGTTGTGCGTACTCCTTGTCCTGCGTTATTAAGCGTGCCTGATCTATTTTTGTTTCATCTAATCTAATCTAGATTTCTAATGCTTCTTGCACCACCAACTGCCTTGCGCCCCTTGCCAAGGTTATCCATGACAAGTTTGGCATCATTGAGGGCTTGATGAGCACCATCCATGCCACCACTGCTACCCAAAAGACCGTTGATGGTCCTTCCCACAAGGACTGGCGTGGCGGACGCAGCGTCAACAACAATATCATCCCCTCCTCCACCGGTGCTGCCAAGGCTGTCGGCAAGGTCATCCCCAGCCTTAACGGAAAGCTCACGTGAGTAGTCGATAGTCCCATATTAATATGGATTCCCTGACATAACATCTCTAGCGGTCTTTCCTTCCGTGTCCCTACCATCGATGTTTCTGTTGTCGATCTCGTCGTCCGCCTCGAGAAGAAGACCACTTATGAGGAGATTAAGGCTGCTGTCCGTGAGGCTTCTCAAGGTCCCCTCAAGGGCATTCTCAAGTACACCGATGACGCCCTTGTCTCCGCTGACTTTGTCGGCCACGACGCCTCTTCAATCTTCGATGCCTCTGCTGGTATCCAGCTCAACGAGAATTTCGTCAAGCTCATCTCCTGGTATGACAACGAGTGGGGTTACTCCAAGCGTGTCGTCGATCTCCTTGTCTTCGCTGCCGAGAAAGATGCCCAGCAACAGTAGATATCATTTCCTTCTAATCCTCTCTTTTGCGCGTCCATGAACCCCACCAACTTTCCCTTTTTCTCTTTTTCCTGTTTGCTTGAAGACAATATGACTGATGCGTGGGTTGAAAGGAAACAGCGATTGTAAACACGTCGACGGTCTGGGCTCGACCTGCCATTATCTGGCAAGATGCCCTCTCGAATGCTCCCCTGTAATAAAGTCAAATAGAAGTATGTATAAAATACAAATCAATCTCAAATTTGGAAATGTGCACTTGTTTCTCGCATCAACAAAGTACTAAAAGAATGTTTGAATGGTACATACTCATAATGTCAGCCACTCTATTTGGTGTTCCCTTCCCAATTTGGAGACAAGATGAAACTGAGGACAAAGGAGACTGTCTTCAACCAAACCGAAAAACATTCGTTTCTTGCTGTTCTGCCTGGTTCCCTTGACTAATAATTTGCTGTCTCCAACAAGCTCTGAGCTCTGAGCTCTGACCAATATAAATCTATAGGAGAAAAGGATAAACAAAACTCGGTGAACTCAGTGAACTTTATTAGTGGACACACCCGGAATTGAACCGGGCACCGCCCGCAACAACAAAGATATGGTGCTAAGCGGGCGTGATAACCAACTACACCATGTGCCCATAAAAATGGTGTTTCACTTAGGGTCCAAGTCCCGCGAAGGCTCAAAGCCGATCTTGACCGAGCTCCCCTTAATCCACCAAAAGTTTACGGTAGCAGTCATTGGATCATTGGATCATGTGGCAGGAGAAGGACAAGCTGAATTATTGGCCTGGATAGATCGTTCGCCTCTGTGAGGTGCCAAATGAGTCCTGTGACTTGAAGGTGACGCAATCCGGCGCCAGTCTACACAGGAACATGTGCTGAGGGAACAGACTCAAGTGCGCCTAAGACTCTTAAGGAGCTATTAGCCAAAATATGTCTTTATTGATGCTGATAATACGTTACCACAACGTTTCCATCTGTAGAGTTTCGGTCGAAGCATCCTGTTACGCCACAGTTGTTTTTTATATGCTATTACATGGTAAATCAGGTGGACTTTATTTCTGCTTACAAGAGGAATTACACTACGCAGCGAAACTTGGAGTTTGTTTGTTTGAACTGAGGCGCTTGGAGCATAATTCACGTAGTCTCGTCACGATCACGGACTCTTTTTGCTTTCAGAGGTCTTGTAGAAAGGACTTTGAATCTTCATCTTCAGCGGGACTCAATAAATGGAGTTGTCTTGATGTCTGAAGTACTCTTCTGTGGTTTTCCTCATGGATTTAGACAAAGAACCATTTTATCTTCCTTCCGTGGCTTGCTTGATATACTGAGTTTTGGCGTTCCCTTGCTGATTATCCTTGTTTGAAATTACATTTATCCGTAAGTTTCCAGGTTTCCAGTCATGGACACATCATTGCAACACCGGCTACGGCCGGATGTCTCCTGACTTCAGATCTTCTCCCAACAGATTCTGTTCCCGTGCAGTATATATATAAATCGATTATCTAAGGGCTACAAGTTGTTCTTACCAATGGACCCCACGTTCTACAAGTCTGTTTCGACGCGTCGCAACTTCAAATATAACTACTATCTCTCAGCACCAACCGCTGGGAAACCTGTGCTTCTTTTTGTTCACGGATTCCCTAGCACATCGTACGATTGGAGGTATCAAGTGACCTTCTTCAAAGACAAGGGCTACGGCTTGATCGTGCCCGATATGCTTGGATACGGCGGGACAGACAAGCCCGCAGTTGCCACCGATTATAGGCTGGGCTTGGTAGCTCAGGATCTTGTCGATATTCTTGACTCAGAGAAAATCGACAAAGCCGTTGCGGTCGGACATGACTGGTAGGTTGTCAGACTGGTATATACCACAATACTCATTGAAGTTGCATTAAAGGGGAAGTGGAGTTGTCAGCAGACTTGCCAACTACTTTCCCGATCGCTTCATCGCTTTTGCCTTTCTCGCGGTTGGATATGTTGCCCCGAGTACAATCAAGTTTGAGGAAGCATATGCCCAGGTACAATTGACCTGCAACCTTTAATGCTATCTTGGTGTGATAGATGATTTCTAGGCTTCCAAGCTCGCTGGACGTGAGCTGATGGGATACTGGTACTTCTTCTCGGAGGAGGGAGCACCTGAGCTCATAAAAAAGAATGTGAGTCGCCTGTCACTTTTCCTCGGAGGATGTACCAATCAATTTCCATACCTCCACAGATCGACTCGTTCTACAGCTTGATGTTACCCGACGATCCAAAACTCTGGATAACTGATTTAACGCCAGGTGGGGCTTGTAAAGCCTGGATTGAAGGAAACAAGACGACAAAACTCGCATCCTATCTTTCGAAAAATGTATGCCTCTTGCTCAGTGCGCCTGTCCTAACTAACAGACCTTCCCTGTCCCGTAGGAGATAGAGAAACATAAGACCGAACTTCTCAAGGGTGGCCTTACAGGACCAGTCAACTATTATAAGATCAGAGTCTTTGATCTTGATCTCGAGGATACTAAGGGTATATGTCACATATCTATCGCCTTCAATGACAGACGACTGACGGCAGTAACTATCAGCCATCGCACCAGAGAATCTTGTGATTCATAAGCCTGTTTTCCTGGGTACTGCATTGCAGGACTACGTTTGCCTAGCTCCTTTCCAAAAAGCGCTCACGGAGCAATGTGTGAAAGGCCCCTTGACCGTAAAGGATTTTGACACAAGCCATTGGCTTATGTGGCAGGATAAGGAAAAGATGAACCAGGAACTGTTGGCGTGGATCCAGGGTTTGGCATTGTAACGAGGGGGAAGATAGGCTACTCCGAGCAAAGCGAGTGTGAAGAAGTCAGTTTGATATCAGTCATCCGAAATAGTACATAACTACTAGCCATGGCCATAAACAAGTGGTATTGAGTTGCATTGATCAATTTGATCGTGGATGAATCAAGACTCGATCTATCTTGCTTCTCTACTTAAAACTCGGTCTCGCAAAACTATTTGCCTTTTTGATAATGGATACGCCGTGGGACCAATCGCAAGATAATGAGGCTTCTTGGAAAAACACACGAGACACCGAATGGACGAAAATGTCGTCCGAGTTCACTGATGTGTGTACCTAACGATGAATCTCAAGTCACGAAACAATACTATTGCTAGGTCGGGTACCGCGAAGGAATAACAGCAGGCAAAGAAGCCTTTGTTCAGGAAGGCTTCGATGCTGGGTTTGCAACCGTCGGCGCACCTTTGGGACGAGATCTCGGTCTCATCCGCGGCCAATCCTCTGCACTCCTCTCATTCTTGACATCAACACCTGCACCTGCTCTGGGTCTTTCTGGGGACGCGAAGGAGGCCCTGGTTCAGGAAATACGCGACATTGTTTTACAACTTGGAAACGTCAGATTCTCGGACATCGAACCGCGCGATTTGGAAGCAGAGAAACATGCGAGAGAGCACTTGGAGGCCGAAGGACAGGAGATGGAGGTTCATGAGGATGTCGAGAAGAAGAGGCAGATGGAGAAGGTGGAGGATATGTTGGCTGGACTGTCAGCTGGAGGAACTGTGAACACTCCTGGAAGACCTACGATGGAGGATGTGGCCAGTCTCAAGGCGCGATTGCATGCTGTGACTTCGCAGTTGAGGCTTCGTAACTTATACTAAGGCTTCTCTACCATTGTGAACAGGACGTCACATCATTTCAGTCCACGAGGGGTATGGGAACGGGTATTTCTCTTGCGTCCTGCTTGACTCATTACTTCCAGGCGCCTTTCTCTCACATGCATTGGATTCGACACCACGATTAATCTTCGCTCAAATTACCTTTTTCAGGTGAGCTTTGCAGAGAGACATGATATATATATAATATTGATAGAGACGACGCCCCTGTAGCTTTAAAATAGTTGTGATTAGGGCAGCCTGAGAGATAGGCCGCGAAGAAGATATCAGTATGTATGGTGACGTAGATACATATCTGAAAAGGGCCGTCTCGCCTTCCAGAGAATATATCACTTCTGCCTCGCAGGCGCCACATAATCTCGTGAAAGGTCGATCTCGCCCTTCATGTGTGTGTTGGTAATGCGCACTTGGCGCTGCCTGGGTGCGCCGCCGCGTTTCCCTTTCTTTTTGCCTGCAGGTGCTTTTGGTACAGGCGCCTCCGCGTTTGTAACCTGAAGACCCTCTGTTCCAACCTGTTTCAGAAGCCCTCGGGTCACCAACAGCTGAGAATATACCTGAAGCAAGTTGTTTCAAGAGATCAACATCATTAGGAACCTTCAGAGAGTGCCACAAGTCGCTGAACTCTGAGCTCACGACGTCAGCATGAATCTTAACGATATGGAGCATTCGCCGCCCATCGAAAAACCCATCTGACCCACAGAAAGAGAAATCCGCGCACCTTTCTCGACTGGCATACCACCAGCTTCCTCTGTTGGTTTGATCTCATTCCAAAAAACCATCCGTAGTTGTCCATCCTTGACTGTACGCGTAACCAGAACTTCGCCTTCCTTCTCTAGCTCCTCAATAGCGGCAGGCGCTTCTTTCCATGACTCTTTCAGTGCGCGAACAGGAATACCTCCGCCTTTTCGTGTTTGCCGTTGAATCTCTGTTAAAAGGGCTGCTTTATTCCGAAAATTGAATTCGTGCTATAAGTTTTGTAAGAAAGAGATGAATCGGGATGAAAAATGAATACGAGCCTTATATGAGTATAGGTCGGTTTTAGGATCCCATATGATACGGTCGTGTCCTTTGAATTTTTCAAGAAGAACAGGATCAGTATCTAATGGCGTGTTTGTGACGATAGCGATGTCCTGCAGTCGCATGGGGTTTTGTGTGCCCTAGAACAACGTCAGCCAGCTTTGATTCAGGTTCTTCATGACAAGTACCTTGAGATGGTTGACTGCGTACACTAATTGTGTGTTGACATTCAGCCCTGTGCCAGTGTCCGCAGGCTGAGAGTATACAATATCTGAATGGAGCGTTTATCCAAGAAAGATTGGCAAAGCTCTGACGACATACTCGTCTTTGGTCGCTTCTTTTTAGGCGTAGGTTGGGAGGACGACTCAGCCTCGGGAGATGCAGGTGTCGAGACCTCGCTGAGGGCTGGGGGTTGAGAGTGCCATGAGGTATAGTCCTGCCGTTTGAGCACGGATTTGAAGGCAGCAGCGTCTTGGGCGAGTTTCGACATGGTGGTCGGTGGAAGAGCCGACAACGTCACACTTCAGGTCACAGCTTGTACCTATCGACTCCCATGTCCGGCAACAATGTACAGGTAATGTGTTATCCGCTACTGCTTTCTGCTCTCCCTGATTTTGCGAGGTCTCTACAGGATATGCCAGCACACAAGCGTCGGCGGGTCATGGCTGTGGCCGATGGGTTTGAAAGACACAAATCTGATGGTCCGAAGGCTGCTGTTCAAGTTCCTAAGTTCACTTCGGCATTCGATGAGAAACAGCCACAGCCAGCGCGTCATAAGCCTCTTTCTAAACCCAGACTTGACCCAAAGTCTGACTTTGCCATCTCTAAACCCGTTTCGACGACCTCTATAAATAATTCAAAGCCTCAGAGTCTTAAGCAACTACCCGTTCCTGCTTTCCCGATGCATACGACGGATAAGGAGAAAAAATCTGCACCTTCTATTCGCCTTCAACCTCCG